TGTAATCAGTGTGGTAAAGCCTTTGCTCGTAACAGTGTTCTTCAAATGCATAAAAGCACACATACTGGAGAGAAACCCTATGAATGTAATCAATGTGGTAAAGCCTTTGACTATATCAGTAATCTTCAAAATCATGAAAAAAGTCACACTGAAGAGAAACCCTAAAAATATAGTGTGGTAATGTTCTACACTTTATGCAGGAGTAAAACTTTGTGTGCAATCAATATTTTAAAGCCTTTGTGTATTACAATAGTCCTTGAGCACCTTTAAAAATACTGAGGGCTTATTATTACAAAGTATTCGGTAAGATCTTTATCCAACACACTTGCACTCAGTTACACATGATTTATTCTGTAGGAAAAATTTGACAGTGTTAGCAATCTATTAGAGCTTTATGATGTTCTCTTTTATATTGTTTTCCCCTGCAAACTCCCAGAAAAAAGTCAATTTAGGAGTTTATGAAGCCCTATGTGTTGGGTAAAGGGGCCAGCCAAAGGAACACATGGGAGCCTGAAAGCAGAGCCAGTGAAAACATACACTTTGGCCTGAACCCCGAGCTAAAGAAATACACTGTATGCCTGACCAAATGAGCACAAAATCCAGCCAATCTCTGAGCTTAGCCAATCTCTGGGATTGAAATCTGATCAATTCCCACCCTTAGAATCTTCTCTCTGTAAAAATTCAGCCCCTAAGAAGGCTCATAAATGCCCTGTTCCTGTTCAGTTGGCAGCTGCCCTTTTCCACTTTGCCAGAGGCAGCCACTCTCCTGGATTCCTCCCTCCTAAATAGTTTTGGTTGAAGACCTTTCACCAGAGCAGAGGAGTATTTGCTGGGAATCTCCCTAATGGAACAGAGCAGAGAAGCAATGGACATCTCTGATGAGAAACTCCCTAGTGTAGTGGAACAGTGAAACAAGGGACACTCTGGGAAACTAGATTAGGGGAGCAGAGAAGATGTGGCAACTTTTCACCAGAGCTAGAGCACACTGCCACATTTCTGCAAGAGTTCCCCATTAGTTGAGTGAGGCAGGGAAGTTGAGGGCTGACAAGAAATGGGCAACTCTGCTGGCAAACTCCCTAGCAGAGCAGTGAAGCAGTAGACACCTGTGTTGAGAAACTCCCTTAGCGCAGTGGAGCAGAGCAGCAGTTGGCATCTCTCCTGGGCATCTCCCTTAGCAGAGTGAAGCAGAGCCCCAGTGTAATGGTTCTTTCTCAAAGAAGAGCAGTATTGCCCCATCATGTAGGGAGGTCGTCCCCCACCAGAACACACTACAGTTATAGGCTGACTTCCCACCAATCAGTATTTCTTTCTCCTCACAGCTGTAGGTATCCATAACACCTCCCCTTCACAGCTGTAGGTATAGCCTGACTTGTGATAGTCAGAGTATCCGTGTCTTCAGAGCTGTATCCAGGATATTTTCCCTCTACAGCTTCAGGTGTAGCCTGACTTCCCAACACTCAGGATACCTTTCTCCACACAGTTGTAGATATCCAGGGTTGTTGTTATTCACAGTTGTAGGTACAGCCTGACTTCCAACAGTCATGGTACCTTTCTCTCCAGAGCTTTAGCTCTTGTACTATAAATTTAAGTGATAATGTAACCCTTTCAGATTTTATACTTTTACTAATTACATGAAATAATTAATCCAGATATGTGAATTTGGATCAGTTACTTTTTTGTTGGGATATAATGTCTCTGTCAACTTATAAAAGAATTAAATTTGTCTCTTGGTTCCAGAGGGATACAGGATGACCATGAAAGTGGTATGGCAACAGATGTCAGACATGGCAGCTACAACAGGAGTCTAAGAACTCACACTTTTTAACCTGCAGCATGAAGCAGAGAGTGGGAACTGGAAATGGTGTGTGGACCTAAATTCTCAAAGCCTATGCTCAGTGACATATTTCCCTCAGCAGGGCAGCATATCTGAAATCTTCCCAGATGATACCACCAACTTAGAAGGGTTGATTTCTCTGACTTCAAGTTTACATGTTTGTTTTCTGTTACATGATCCAATTCATGATGTCAAAAAATTCTATAAGTCATCTATTAAATGCCTCAACATCTGTTTTACAGGAATGGATGCTTAGAAGAGAAAAACTTTTATTAGTGAAAAATTGTTTAAAGAGTTATTGTATTTTTAATTATGTGATATGATTGTGTGTTTGTGTTGTTATGTGAATATGCATGCTGGTTACTGAAAATGTTAGACCTTTGGATCTCTTTTAGGATGAATTACAGGAAGTTGTCAAAATCAGAACTTGGTCCTGTGAATGAACTTTTCTTAACTGTCCAGCCTTGTCTCTAGCTCTGTAAATATTTTAAAGCCTATTTATATAATTTTGAAATCAGGAAATAGGGACAAACTCATGCAAGAGAAAAACCGTAGTCATGGTAATAAAATTTACTTTGTAACAAATATTTATGGTGCATGTATAATGTGGTTATGGGTTTGTAGTTCATGACAGATATGTGAAGACCAGAAGAAAGCTTTGTGCTGCCTACTTTTCATCCTTTTTATATGGTGATCAAGGTCAGGTTTCTAGCCTTGCACACCACAAACCTTTCCAACTGAGCTGTCTCACTGATGCTCAAATAAGATTAGTAGAAATATTACATGAGTAAACTATTGCCTTCTTTTCAGATTATAAACATAATTTCATACAAGGATAGAAGAACATAGGACAATTTGAATACTAAATCCTGTTTGCATAGGAATATATATATATATATATATATATATATATATATATGTATATATATATATATATACCATTCATTTTAAATGTGTTTATTCTGAAGACTAAGCATTTGTTCATAATCCTCTTTCAGAACCGTAATTGAATGCCAGATAATTGCCTCATTCAGTAAAGTTCATTGCTGCTAATCCTGATGACCTGAGTTCTCTCTCTGGCTGGTGCATATTACTTCTACAAATTTTCTCTTATTTCTACACTTGGGCAGTGGCATATGCACATTCCCACATCAGCAAATACATAAATAATTTTAAAAGCCATATAAGTGCCATTGAGGTCACTTGCAGCCAAATGGCTCCCTAGGTTTCATTTAGAACTCACATAGGGAAAGTAGATCATAGACACCTGTAAGCTGTCCTCTCAGGGCTGTATACACACCATGGCACAGGTGTGCATACCAACACAATTCAAACATTTTTAAAAGGATGAAATTTAAAAAGTGAAGAGAATAACCCAATTATTGAGAACTTCTAAAGTTATTTGCCCATTTAAATTATAGAATTTGAAGAATTAGGACTGTTCATCTAAACAATGATGGTCCCTTTTTAATCTTCTTTTGTCCTTTCAGTCTCAAATTCAAAGATAGGTGATTTAAAAATATATTTCTCAGCTGCATTTCAAGGAACAGAACTTTAATCCCAGCACTTGGAGACTATGTTGGGCTAATCTTTCTGAGTTTTATGCCAGCTTGGTCCCCATAGTAAATTCCAGGGCAGCCATGACTGTGTGGATATATCCAAAAAATAAAGGCACATCTCAAATTATGTAACTTTTCCTAATATTATCTGGCTGGACTCTGGGTTCCACAAAACTTTTTGTTATCTTTACTCACATCAAGAGAAATGTGTTAACATTGAAAATAAGCAATATAGAGACTCCATTCACAGAGATATAGAAATCCATTGAATGCTTTGACAACTATCTAGAGGGGATTTTCATCACCTTCAAGTGATAGGAGCAGTGGGACATCTTCATCTTTGGTTTTATCATGACATTTTTGGGACACAGAAAATTGGATCACTGGTACTGCTTTTCTTGGGTACCAAAGCCACAAGAGTGGGTTTATCTCTAATTTGGTAAATTGGCAGCAATGGGATTCCAGAAGCTCACATGTCAGGTGTATGCCTGCCTGAGTTAATACCTCCTATGAGAGAGAAAAGGAACTTTCAGACATTAAGTCTGACTTGTCTGCATGAGATCATATTCTACTCTCCTGATGCCTGCAAAACCTTCAGTTAAGAGCTCTGAATGGTGGTGACTCTAGATGACATCCAGGTTGCCAGGAGATCCTGAGACTTGAGCTGAAGTCACTCTAAGGCTAAGGCACTCAGGCATTTACAATGATCTGTAGAATTGAAAGAACTGTTAGTGAGGGAGGCTTGGGTGTAAAAGCCCTAGGATCAGATGTCCCTGAGCAGTGCATGGGGTGTAGCTGAGGTCAAGCTGGCATGAACTGCACTCTGTTTCCATTGAGCTATGGCGAATCAGCACCCCTCCAGGTCTTCCTCTCTTGGCGTTTATGGCAACTCATTTAGCTGTTAGGGACAGTGCCCTGCAGCCCCCACTTTGCAGTCCCCACTGAGACCTTAACACACCTCAGTGTGTATCCCATCAATCCTTCATATCTGCCTGTCTCACAAAAATAAGGATATTTGAAAAGACATCTATATCTTTCCATTTGTCTAACAAATAGTGAAACAGTAGACACCATGAAATTCTAATTTCCCCGGGAAACGTCTGACTCCTCCTCATGAGAACGTCTCTACTGAAAAAAGATTTACTCTTTATCTGACCATCTTGCAGGAGAGACTTCAGTTGAGGTTGCAGAAGTGTTTTGTAGATGAGAAACATTGCATTATTTGGCTTAGTTATATTCCTTAGTTGTCCATATTACTTGCCATCATCTAAACCTGTTGGGCCCCCAAGGATGGATTAGTTATCTTATATCTTCATTACTGTTGCAAATTAGTCACACTGAAAATATGTCATGTTTACAATTTTTATTAATGATTTTCTCTTCTCTTTTCTATTGTTTCTTTTTTATGTTAAATAATAGTCTCAGGATGAATCTCTGGCTGGCCTGCAACTCACTATATAGACTAGGCTCTTCTAGAACATCAGATTGATTCTAGTGTACCTGAATTATAGGTGGACACATCACAGACAACTAACTTGGTTCTTTTGGGGGGTGGGCTTTTAATACAGGGATTCTGTCTGTAACCTTGGCTGTCTTGGAACTAGCTCTATAGAGCAGACTGGCCTTGAATTTACAGAGATCCAGTTGTTTTTGCCTCCCAAGTGTCAGGATTAAAGTCCTGTATCCCCACCACCTAGTATAATTTGGTTCTTTTCATTGGCTTAATAAGGGTGAGTGCCTGAACCTGGTTGGTTAGGATAGCCAGGACACAG